TGAGCCCTGAAAGCTCTTGCTTTCATCACTGAGAGTTCACCCCAGTGTCTCACCCCTTTCCTTGTGGCAGCTTTCAGGAGCAGCTAGTTCATGCCCTGCAGAGAGAAGAGGAAGAATGAGATGTTGTAGAGCAGCACGTCCTCCCTGATCTCAGAGAGTGGAGGGAACTTCCACATCCAGGGGATGGCACAGTCTTGGACATGTGGCAATGTTCTGCACAAAGAAACATAGAGGAAACCACGGCTGCTCTTCTTATACAAAAGGCCAGAGATTAACAATGAGAACGCATCTGCTCCTGCCCTTTCTCACTTGTTGCAAGTGTTAGTGAGAGGGCTTCATGCTTCCAGCTACAGCACCCACCCTTCAATCTGAAGGAAAGGCCAAGACATTCCCATAGACAGCGGCCATCCCTTATCGTGGCTGTCTTCTTGTTTGATGAGAAATGAGAGCCAGCCTTGGTTACACCATTGACCAGACCTCAGTCACTTGCAGCTGAAGGTGTCCCTACACATACAGTATGTTGGCCCTTCCCCATCAGTCAAGAATGTGGAGGAACTCGTGAGATTTCTCAGGATTTTGTTAACCCTTCATTTCTCCTTGTGGGCTACAGAGCAGGGAACATATCATGAAGCACCAGAATCTTTTATATATTTTTCGACCATCATCTTTTGAAATTCATAGCATGAGTTTGTACCCCCCAATTATTTTTTTCTCTATTCTTATTTTTACTCCTCTTTTCCCCCTCATGTCATTGGGTATTAAAGGAGGGAAAATCTGTTTTTTTCATCGTTTCTTTTGATTTCCTTTGGTAACTGCTCACAAATATTGACATATCAACTGCAGTACTCTTGTGCTCTTGTATTGCTTTTGTCCTGAGAAGGGAAGCAACAAGAACTTTTTCTTTTGTGTTTTTGCCCACAAGGACCTTCCCCCTGGAGTACAGTGCACAGGCCACCAGCAGCAGGATTAGGAGCATGGAGACCACCTTTCCGAATGGCAGAGGCCATCAGATGTCAAACATAATGTTCCTTGCCATAGTTCATCTGTGTTCCAGCCATCTGGTCCACCGCAGTGCCAGACGCTAGGGAAACACAGCCCTGATGCCTGGTTTGGTCACCAAGGCACAGAGGCACCATACACTTGGAAGGCTAGGGAAATCACCACTGGGCTCACCAGCAGCTCCCTGTTCTTAATCAAGGTCCATCCAGTGCTGCCTCTGGTCACCCAAGCAGACACCAAGGGTCATCTCAGACTTCTCCATCTCCTGGACATCATGACCCAGGATTTCAGTGACCGGAGCAAATGTTGGTCCCCTCCATCTCTCTGGCCCAGTTCCTCCTGCACAACTGACCCACTAGTCTTTCTCCATGGCTTGAATGTCTAGGCCCCCTCACAGCCAGGGAGCCACTCCTAGTCCACTGATGGTTTTCAGCAGCTAAGGAATAGACGTGTCCTAACCAACAGGTGAACTGAGTGCCTGGAACTTCCTCTCCACCCAACCTCAGGGGTTTAGTCCTCAGCTCTCTCCACATCCCATTCCTGGCAGACAAGCCAGGAGATACCTACCAGGCTATGTGTTCTGGGGTGGGGTTGGAGCCCCCGAGTCTCCAGATATAGGCAGAGGCTGGGAGGCAAACTCAGCCTGGCCAGTCGGCCTCTCCCCCAACCCAGCCAGCATACCTGGCACAAACTGGGGCACTTCTTTGTAACACCTGTGTCCTTTCCCTGGCATGTGCTTGTGGTGGGTGGGGTTGAGGGGGCGCTCCCAGAACCGGGTCAAGGAATGCTACAGAAGGAGGCCGGCCTGGGCAAAGGCAAAGCCAGCCACATGGCAGGTTGGACATGGGACCCACTAGAGTTGCTCAGATCCAAGCTCTGCATAGCATTGTTGGGAACAGACAGGGAGGACAGGCTGAACTCTCCCTAAAAGGCTCCAAGAGCTCTGCAAAGGCCAGGTCCCATCACATGTGGGGCCCAATCGGACTTGCCAGTCTGCAAGAATTGAACAGGATCCTCTGCAGGCAGGTGATGCTGCAGCCTGGTTGGCCTTCTGAGTGGTGAAGGGGGGGCCAAGGGCTGAGAATGTGGGTGTGGGGCATGGGCAGGGCATGGTGGGCATCTTCCCTCCCATCAGTCAGGAACCGGAGGCACTAGAGGGCAGGAACAGGTGCTTCCCACAAGGCCTGGAGCAGCCCCTACCCCTCATTTCCTAAAAAGGACACAGGAAGAGCCTCTAGAAGGGGCTGGGGTTCAAGGAGCCCACCCGTCCACTGTGAGGCCCCGCAGCAAATCTCAAAGGACAGGCTGAGCCACCAGTGCCCCCAAGAGAGCAGGACCTCAGCCCATGAGGAGAGGGAAGGGTGGACCCTCCCCCCATACACCGCAGGGCTTGAGGCCCAGGCACGGGGGAAGGGAAGTCCATGAAGTCACGGCCCCTCCTCAGGCTGCTCTCTCCCAACCCAGCTGCCATTGACCCCAGACCCTGAGGGCCCACCGGTTGTCAGGCTATGGAGTCACCTCCTGCTGGTGTCAGACCCCCTACACAATCCCCTCCCCACTCCTCCTCTCCTCCCCCAGCCTGGCCACTGGACCCTTGAACAAATGGGTCCTCGGCCCCTCATGGTGTCCTGGGGTCCATCTTCTATCATTGTCCCTGGCCCAGGACACTGCCCACATGCTGGTGACTGTACCTCTGTGCCTGGAGACACCCCACTGCCCCCAGCCTCACCTTGGGGTTTCCCTGCTCTGTCTGAACCCCCACAGAAGCCCTCACAACCCTCTCTGATCCTGCCCGCACCCCAGTGGGCACCCCTAATCCTCCCTCCTCCACATTGGGGCTTCCCTCTCCAGACACCCCCATTCCAGCCCACACTGTGCCAGCAGGAGCCTCCTGGAGTGAAACTCTAAACAAACCCCCATGTCCTTCAGCTCCTGTGACAGATGCTCAGGCCACCTGTAAATCCAGCTGCATCTAGCCACCTGCTGTTCTCCAGCAGGCACAGGTCCCAGCCTCTGGCCTTTGCCTTGGCTGTTCCTCTGCCTGGACTTACACCTCTCCTCCCACACAGACATCTCACTCATGCCCCCTCCCCCAGCAAGGATTCAAGGTCACCCTTCCCCTGTCCCCAACAGGTCTGTGCCCCTCTGTCTCTCTCCTGCAGAGGCCCATGCATGACTACACCTGCCATGCTCACACCTGGCCAGTGGGGACCCCTCCACCTGCCCAAGGTCCCACACCTGGTGCACTGGTGAGGCCCGGCCCAAGCCCAAATTCTGACAGCTGGTGAATGCAGAAGACCCCTCTACACCACCACCAGGACCACCCAGGGTCAGGTGGAGGGCAGCCTGTGTGGGTCTGGGGGAGGGTCATCTGCCTTAAACCACCTTGCACCTCCCCTGCACCCATCCAGAGCAGAGCTGTGACCCCTTACCCAAGACCAGCAGCTCTGGGGCACAGGGACAGGACCTGGCCACTTGTGGGCACACAGCAACCAGCACCAGGGATGCCTCCATGAGTGAGGCCCAGCCCTGCCTGCCAGGACCTTCCATCCCTGGGAGGACACTGAGCACACAGAATCAACACACTGGACAATGCCGGGGTCCACGGGGGGGGCTCAGAGAGAGAAAAGCAGCTGAGCAAGGGCCGAGGGGCCAGCAGACCCCAGAGCGGGCCAAAGTAGGACAGCGATGAGCCCTGGGTGGGGGGCGTAATCCCAAATACTGCTGCCCGGTACTTTCTCTGCAGCTGAGAAAACAGCTCGTAATGTAGGTGACAAAAGGTGGCACGGTAGACCCAGCTTTAGATCTGCTCCAGTTCCTGAGAGAGAAGCACATGCGGGCAGCCTTCAACACTTAACGATTGTTACAGTGGCAAACTGTTTGCCCCGGACTTAGGAATGACCGTGAGGATTGAGGGGTCAGGGTCTCACACCCACCCATCTGCCTGTGGGGTTTTGGCTGAGCTGCGAACCACAGTGCTAACTGGGGACACAGTGCCTGACAACTCTACAAAAACCCCGGCTCCCAGTGCCTCTGCTAGGGCCTGAGCTTGGGGGCATCACCTGCACAGCAATCTCCAGGGTGGCTTTGCCATGCTCTGAGAGGGGTGGGGAGCCCCAGAAAGCTGGAAGAGAAGTGGTGTCTGGCCATTTTGGAAGGTGATTTTCTAGGTGGACACGCAATGGGAACAGGTTCCAGGATGAGGGACAGGGTCCCTTGAGGTACTGGGGAGCGGGTGTGGGCAGAGACAGGGGTGCTGAATGCAGCCCAGGTCACAATTCAAGAGGGGTAAGTGGTCACGGGGCCTTGGAGCAGTGTGAGGCATCAGAAGTGTTAGCCGGGGAAACCCAGATCCAACTCAGGTGACGAGTGAGAGGCAGGTGTCAAGAAGGACTCCCAGTCCCAGGTTGGGGACTCAGGCAGGTGGGACATATGCTGGGGGCACAGGGTGGGCCATCTCTTCAAGCACAGAATAGGCTTTCTGGTCCCGGGGGCTCCCTGGTGACTCCCCGGGGACAGCAGCTGGGGCTCTGTGGCCCCCAGGATGGGGCTGCCACACTGTGCCTAGGTTCAATCTGAGTGCTGGGGCCAGGACACCCTCGTCACCATCTCCTCAGGTGACTCTGGCATCTGGGAGCAGTGGGGATTCAGGTGTGCTGAGCCAGGCCAGGTGCTTGTCCTCACACTCGGGGACAGGAGATGGGGCCACAGGAGGGAGGGGTGCGTTTTTTTATGAGAGGAGCAGCAGGGCAGGGACTGTGCTACTGGTACTTGGATCTCTGGGGCCAGGGCACCCTGGTCACCATCTCTTCAGGTGAGTCCTCCCTGCAGCACCCAGCCAGTCTTCTCTGCCCGGGCACCAGTCTGGGTCCCTTGGGTCTGCAGCCCGTCTGTGTCTGGCTCCAGAGGGCACACAGGCCACCGTCACTGGGGCCTCCCCCGTGGGCTGCCTGCCACAGCCCCACTGGCTCTTACCCCAGATCAGACTGGAGCCCCCGAGGATGGGCAAGAACCCTGGTGGGTTCCGGCCCCATCAGGCTGGTGGGGAAGCAGAAGTTGTGGGCAGAGCTGGGGCCTGGGCTGTTTGTGTGCTGGGGGCTGGGCACATGCACCAATGTGGCCACTACTACTACGGCTCCTTCGACAGCTGGGGACAGGGCACCTTGGTCACCATCTCCTCAGGTAAGTTTGTCCTTGCCTGCCTCCCTCTCAGCCCTGGGTCTGTGTGGCTGTGGGCCGGGACGTCAGCTGTCTCTGCTCCGTGCAGGGCAGCATGGCCTGGCCCTTCTCAGTGGCCCTGAGGGTGCAGGTTTATGTCTGGGAAGGAGCAGGGACTGTGTCCCTGTGTAATGCTTTTGGTACCTGGGGCCAGGGCATCCAGGTCACCGTCTCCTCAGGTAAGACGGCTTTCTTTCTGCCTCCTTGGTCAGGCCCAGCTCCTCTGTCCTGGAGCTGGGAAATAAAATTCCAAAGGTTTCTTGGTCTGTGTGGGGCCATCTCGGGCCCCGGTGGGCTCCTTCTGGGGACGTTTGGCTCTTTGCTTCTGCGGGGATAGGAGCTCTTTGCTCCTGGGATGAAGGCTGGGCAGAGACATGCTTTGTGTTTGAGGACATGATGACCTTAGGAAACAGGGCTTTCTGTCGTGGCCGGCTGGGCTCAGGGTGGCCAGGTGGGGGTCAGGTATTTGTACACCCCAAAATGGGACTTATAGCAATGTGAGTACTTCAGTTACTGGGGCCCAGGGACCCTGGTCACCATCTCCTCAGGTGAGTCCTCACAACCGCTCTCTCCTGCTTAATTGGAGGGTTTTTGCTGCATTTTGGGGAAAAATTATGGGGTCTGAGTCTCAGGCCTAGAAGGAATGGGGGAAGTCTGGGGACTTGGGAAGGGGTCCTTGAGGGGACTGCAGCTCACACAGATGAAGTGTTGAGGCTCCAGCTTCCCTCTCCTCCTGGCCTCTGCAGTTGAGGGATAGTGAGGGTCCCGGCCCCCCTTGATCTCTGGGGTCCCCTTGTCACCACCGCCTTGGTGACCCTCACCAGGCTCAATTTGAGATGGTCCTCAGACCACATCAGATACAAGTATTTGCCCAGTGCGCTGGCATAGTCGTCACAATGTGACAACCAGTTAGACTTCTGGGGCCAGGGGTCCCTGGTCACTGTCTCCTCAGGTGAGTCCTTGCCCCCTCCGCACTCAAACTGCACTTGGAGAGATTCGGGACATTAGGGTCTTGGTGTCACAGTCACCAGGGTCAGGAAAGGGAGCTGGGGAGAGGGTCCCCCCAGATGGGAAATGGAGATCCAACTTCCCTCTTCCCCAAGTTTGGCCACAGGTGATGGGGGTCAGGGGGCTTCTTTGGCTGGTCTGGGGGTGACCACTTTTTGCTTTATTTGAGCATTATCAGGGAATGTCGTGACTGTGGCATAATCAGGGCTTCTGTCTGGCTCTGAAGCACCTGCTCTCTGGGGCAGGCGCCCGTCTGGGGTGTGCTGGATTCCTGAGTGTGAATTAGGAACGTTCTGTTTACAGTCAGTCTTCCCAGACCTGCAGTGACCTGGCCTCTGAGGGTCCAGGACAGGATGTGCAGTGACTAGGGGACCTCTGGCCAGACAGGGAGTGGAGTGTGCAGAGAGCCTAGGTAGAGTGACCTGGATGGTCAGCTTCGGTGTGACACCCGGAGACGGTGCAGGTCTCTGGGTGGCTGGGAGCAGCCCCGGGCTGGACACCCAGGCTTTTTGTGAGGTGAGGATGGAGATTTCACCATTGTGATTACTACGGCTTGGACTTCTGGGGCCAAGGGGTCATGGTCACTGTCTCTTCAGGTAAGAATGGCCTCTCTTCAGGGTCTTCATTTTCTGCTCCTGCCTTTAGGGTTTTCTGAGCATCCCAAGCTGGTCACTTTCCCTAGGGGACCAGGGTGGGCTGGCCAGGAAGGGACAGGGACTGGGGTGCTTTGGGGATTTCAGATTTTCTGTGAATTTTCCAATGTATTTGCAAAACTGAAATAACATCGGGTACGTTCGATGGAGTAACTGAGCCCCTGGGGGCTTCGGGGCCACATTCAAGTGAGATGCTGGAAAAGACCAGGACCCCTGTAGCTTGAGGACAGTTTGGTCCATGGTGGGAGACACTTAGTTGCGGGAATCATAGTGTTGGTTGAGGAACGTGCCTGGACGGCGGTGTTTGTAGAACCACAGAGAGACTGCAGAGTGAGACGTTTTCTTTGGAATTATGAAGTGTCTTTTGTGCTAGGCTGTATTTTAAATTCTTTGTTAGTCAGAAAGAGAACTGTCTGTGTGAGTGAACCCAGGGAGGGGGACACATAGCCTTCATCTTGGTGAGAACGGGGGCTGGGGGACTTGTGCAAGGGGCTGCGGGTGGTGGCGGCAGCTGAGCTCTGCGAGGAAGCTTCTAAGAGAAAAGAAAGTATTCTTGCAGAAAATGGTGTGTTCATCTTAAATGATGTGTTCTTGCAGAGAATGGTGTGTTCATCTGAAAGGGCAAGGTCACTAAATATTAAAAGACAGGGCACCGTTGAAGCGGATCCTGAGAAAATGGCTCAGAAAATTGTGACTTGAAAACTTGAGAGATGTTCAAGTATATTAAATGTTTTAAATCCCAAAGTATTTAGAATTCTTATTACTTGATTAACAACCATGAGTCAGGCCTTTCTGGAGTGGATACTGACACAAGTTCAGCCAAGAAGCCATAATGCGGCACTGTTAGCCCCCGATTCAGGGCTGAGTTTTGTCGATAATAAATCAAGTTTATTTTTTAAATTCATTGAGTGATGCTGGGCATGGGTGGTTAGAGTCAAGATGGCCACGGAGCGGGGGTTCGGCCACCTGCAGCAGGTGGCAGGAAGCAGGTCACAGCGAGAGTCTATTTTAGGAAGCAAAGAAAACAGGATGGGCACATTTACAGCTTATGCTTATGAAGAGGTGGTTTTCAGATATTTTGCCGAGCCCCGCAGATCTGAAAGTGTTCCACCAGCAGAACAACACCTGGGTAATTTGCATTTCTAAAATAAGGCGAGGGTGCTGCAGAAACTGGAAAGGTTCCTTTTTTCACTATTTGAATTTGGTGTTCCATTCTTAGATTTTCAATGCCTAGTTTGTTCCACCTTAGCTTACCAACTTCTAAATTGAATTTATTTTCAGAGTAAAATGCTTAAGAAATTAAATGGTCTTAGAGATAGTTTATTAATGTATTCATAAAATTTTTTAAGTTACTTACTTTTATTCCTTCGTAGGATAATTGATCTCAGACCTTTTTTTAATACTCCAAAGCATTATCTTTACAATGTCTCTGTTCACAGTTTTTTAAGTTAGTCAATTTTCTCTTCGTGATTAAGGAGAAACACTTCAATATTGATAAAAATGCCTTCTTTTCAGTATTTTTCAAGACCACTTTTCAAGTATAGATTAAAAGTGAAACGTGTATAATTCTCCTGAGTTATTTTATTAAGACATTAGTTGGTGGCTTAAGATAGAACCCAGTCAGACAGTGCAGAAGAAAGCACCCTAGCGGCACGTTAGGTGGACAGTTTGTCTCCAGTCGGTGGCTCAGCTCCTCAGTCAAGGGAAGCCCGTGTGGGGTCTGGGCGCAGGTTGCCGCTGGGCCTGGAATTGGCTTTGGGCCTCCCGGGAGCACCCAGACCCGGGAATGTGTGGCCGTGGCTTCTGCCACCAGCCAGCTGGCTACCTATGCATCAGCCATTTTTGATGGACTTGGAGGAATTATTCCCTGTCAAAGATCCCACGGACTTTCCAGCGACCGGACTCCTAACGTGGTAAGCGAGGGCAGCCACGCTGCCAAGTGTGCTCTCTTAAACATTTGCATTTGATGTTTTCTTTCTACTTGAAGGGAAGTCAGTCTGTCATTATTGCTTGATGAGGAGAAAGAGGCTCATCTGTGCAAGTCCTTTGGGTAACCACAGTCTGGGTCACTCACGTTTAACTTCCCCTCAAAGATATTTCAAGAAAAAACTGGCATGATCTTTCCTATTGCCTATTAACCGTTGATTGTATGCTTCGTGATGCTTTAAAATACACAAGGGACCTCTCGCACTGTCTCTATTTAAGTTATAGATGCAGCTTTGAGTTTTAGATCGTTATCATGTACCTGAAACTAGCCTACGCCTTCCACGTAGCTTTATGGTAAACAGCAGAATTTTAAGTGACAAATTCTGATAAAATGGATTTCCTGGTTGTTTTCAATGATGATTTTTATCTAGAAGGAATTTAAAGTCAGGGGCTTATCTTAGACTCGGAAGGGAGGAATTCGAGCTAAGCGGGTGCTCCAGGGCAGTGGAGGCTGAGAGGGGAGAAGTCGGCTCTCGGAGCAGAGGCAACGTGGCTGGTCTAGAACAAAAGGAATGTGTCATTTTATCACCGGAAATCTCAAGATGTTTAATGAATTTAGAGTTGCCAGGAAATATTCTACCCAGATGGTGAAAGGGCTTTAGTGATTGGTACTACTTTGGAGCCAAAAGCCAGGTGGAGCTGGGGCACGAGGACCGGACACCTGGGGTGTCGAGTGTAGGACACAGAGGGGACGGAAGCCCATCCAGCTGTTCAGAAATCCTGCAGTGAGATGGGTTTAGCAGAGGCAAGGGGTCTGCCAGGATGACTCTTTCTGGCCACTACTATTCCATTGGGCTTTCAAAACCAGACTAGTCTGAGCAAAGCTGGGCTGAGTTGGGCTGGACTAGGCTGAGCTGTGCTGAGCTGAGCTGAGCTGGGCAGAGCTGAGCTGGGCTGGGCAGAGCTGGGCTAGGCTGGGCAGAGCTGGGCTGGGCAGAGCTGGGCTGAGCTGAACTGGGCTGGGCAGAGCTGAGCTGAGCTAGGCTGAGCAAAGCTGGGCCGAGCCAGGCTGAGCTGGGCTGAGGCAAGCTGAGCTGGGCTGAGGCAGGCTGAGCTGTGTTAGGCTTAGCTGAGCTGGGCAGAGCTGGGCTGAGCTGGGTTGGGCTGAGCTGAGCTGGGCTGAGCAGAGGTGAGCTGGGGTGAGCTGGGCTAAGCTGGGCTGAGCTAAGCTGGATTGAATTGGGCTGAGCTGATCTGGGCTGGGCTGAGCTGATCTTGGCTGTGCTGAGCTGACCTGAGCTGAGGTGGGCTGTGTTGTGCTGGGCTGTGCTGGGCTGAGCCGGGCTGGACTGTGCTGAGCTGACCTGAGCTGAGCAGGGCTCGTCTATGCTGGGCTGTGCTGGGCTGAGCTCTACCGGGCTGAGCTGGGCTGGGTTGAGTGGGGCTGGGTGAGCTGGGTGAGCTGATCTGAGCTGGGCTAAGCTGGGCTGAGCTGAGTTGGGATGAGCTGGGCTGAGCTGGGCTGAGCTGATCTGAGCTGGTCTGAGCTGGGCTGCGCTGTGCTGAGCAGAACTGTGCTGAGCTTGGCTGGGCTGAACTGGGCTGGGCTGAGCTGGGCTGGGCTGAGCTGGGCTGGGCTGAGCTGAGCTGGGTTGGGCTGAGTTGAGCTGGGCTGGGCTGAGCTGGGCTGGGCTGAGCTGAACTGGGCTGAGCTGGGCTGGGCTGAGCTGGACTGAGCTAAGCTGAGTTGATCTGAGCTGAGCTGGGTTGAGTTCGACTGGACTGAGCAGAGCTGGGATGAGCTGAGCTGAGCTGGACTGAGCTGAGCTGGGCTGAGCAGCACTGAGCTTAGCTGAGCTGAGCTGAGCTGGGCTGGGCGGAAAAGAGCTGAGCTGAGCTAGGCTGGGCTGGGCTGACCTGAACTGAGCTGGGATGAGCTGGGCTGGGCAGAGCTGGGCTGGGCTGGGTTGAGCTGAGCTAGGCTGGGTTGAGCTGAGCTAGGCTGGGCTGGACTGAGCTGAAATGAGCTGGGATGAGCTGATATGTGCTGAGCTGGGCTGAGCTGATCTGTGCTGAGCTGGGCTGAGCTGAGCTGAGCTAGACTGGGCTGGGCTGACCTGAACTGAGCAGGGCTGAGCTGTATTAGGCTGAGTTGGGCTGAGCTGAGCTGGGCTTGGTTGAGCTGGGCTGACCTGAAGTGGGCTGAGCTGAGCTGGGCTGGGCAGAGCAGGTCTGAGCTGTACTGGGCTGAGCTGGGCTGGGCTGGGATTAGCTAGGATAAGCTGACCTGGGCTGAGCTGGGCTGAGCTGAGCTGGGATGAGCTGAGCTGAGCAGAGCTGGGCTGGGCTGGGCTGAGCTGGGCTAAGCTGAGCTGAGCTGAGCTAGACTGGGCTGGGCTGAGCTGAACTGAGCAGGGCTGAGCTGTACTGGGCTGAGTTGGGCTGAGCTGAGCTGGGCTTGGTTGAGCTGGGCTGACCTGAAGTGGGCTGAGCTGAGCTGGGCTGGGCAGAGCAGGTCTGAGCTGTACTGGGCTGAGCTGGGCTGGGCTGGGCTGGGCTGAGCTGGGCTGAGCTGAGCTGGGATGAGCTGAGCTGAGCAGAGCTGGGCTGGGCTGGGCTGAGCTGGGCTAAGCTGAGCTGAGCTGAGCTAGACTGGGCTGGGCTGAGCTGAACTGAGCAGGGCTGAGCTGTACTGGGCTGAGTTGGGCTGAGCAGAGCTGGGCTGAGCTGAAGTGGGCTGAGCTGGGCTGGGCTGGGATTAGCTAGGATGAGCTGACCTGGGCTGAGCTGGGATGAGCAGAGCTGGGATGAGCTGAGCTGAGCAGAGCTGGGCTGGGCTGGGCTGAGCTGGGATGAGCTGAACTGGGCTGAGCTGAAGTG